TAATAAATGCTTTTTTCTATACATGTATTTACATTTCACAAGATTGGGTAGTTACATATTTATTTGACTATATAAATTTTAAAATTTTTCCATTTTTGAGTCAATTATATATCTATTAAATGTGGTGCCTAATAATGATTAATCTTATTAAATATGGTTTTATGTACATCATTTATTTCTAATTGCATAATTTCTTAACAAATATTTTTGACTATATAATGATATTATTTCTCATCATCAATCAGCTATACATTTAAATAAAGTGAATTTCCCATGTTCCATTATCTCCCCTCTCTCATATAGTTGTAAACGTGGGTGTTTATGTGATCGTGTGGGTTGTTGGAGATAAAGATAGCAAGTCTCATATATAAAAACTGAGTGAGTGCACTAATGATTGCAAGAACTTATTATTCTTCAATACTCACCGTGAATCCATCATTTTCTGACATTGATGAGTTATTCAAGAAAGCTGCCTTGCTCGCCATTGAATACTCCAAAGCATCTCCTATATGGTGGTGTCCTCCTCCAGAATTTGTCGGCACTACCACTGTGAAGAGGTGCTTGAACTAGAGTCAAAGATAGTTTGACTTCTCATCTCTTATAACATCTGATGGAGTGAAGAGTGAGGCAGTAGAAGCAAATGATGAACTTGACAATATTGGTGGTCTTATAGCATCTGATGGAGTGAAGAGTGAGGCAGTAGAAGCAAATGATGAACTTGACAATATTACTGGACTTGTAGCATCTGATGGAATCAAGAGCGAGGTGGTAGAAGCAAGTGATGAATCTGCTGATAGTAGTAGTCCTACAACATGTGTTCCATTTAGGCGCTCTAAGAGAACCAAGAGTATGCCATTTTGGATGATGGACTATTATGTATATATGTGATGTATGTTTAAAATTTAATTTTAATTATGTTTTATTTGCAAATTATGTTTAGTAGGCTATCGAACATCTTGTAAGCGAACTCTTTGTGTGTGTGTGGTTATATATTTCTATATATTAATTTGGTTGATTTTGCTAGGTGTGTGAATGTCTATGCTAATATGCACTACAAATATATAATTTATGAGATATTTATTCTGTGAAATTAAAGCTTTTATTTTGTGCGTGCACATATCATGACAGTTAATGGAGACATTGAGGGGATGTGGGTCGCACATTGAGACTTCATGGGTTAAGGAAGTTAACCTGATGTGGCACTTAAAAGCAGTAGAAAAAAAGTTCAAGTTATGAGGTAAATGTGCATTGAAAAATAAAAATCATGGAGAATATGGTTATATAAATATAATAAATATATGTGTAAATAAAATAAAGAGATATATAATAACAGATATATTCATCTCAACAAACATGAAATTTAATTAAACAACATATTTTTTATTGGCAAAATTTAAACAAAATATATTTATTATAAATTAGTAATTTTAAATTATAGTCAAATTAGCTGCCACGTTTTTTGATATTTTGCATTATTTTTAAAAATTTTATTAAATCATCATGGGCACCTTAGTAACCACCTTCGGAGATAATATGGCCATGTTGTGAGTTGGCTATTAGCCACACAAGCGCTTCTTCCTTCGTCTTCTTCTCCTTCTCTGGTATTTGTTCATTATAACCTTTTAACCACCATTTCGCCTTCCTTTATTCATTACTGTAGCATTAAGTTTGTATTTTCAACATGAATAAATGTGGTGGTGGTAAAAAAAAAAAACATGAATAATGTGAAATTTAAACTTCATGTACCAACACTTTTTTTTTTGAAAAAAAAAAATCATTTGGCTGGTTTTGATAATCATTTTCATCATTGTGTTGTTGCTACGTGTGAACTAGAATTCTACATGTTCAATGAATCAAAGAATTGCCTATAGTAACAAGCATCTAAGCTATTATATTAGATAATTGGAGGTATACATCATTTAGCTTCTTTAATTTTGTATAATACTTTATATGAATAACCTCTTCAATCCTATTAAATTGTAGCTTATGGAATTTTTTCTTGAGAAAGATTATTATGCTATATATGTTATCACAGTTAAAATGGGTAAAAGGAAATAGACGAATGCATCTCTTGATTCTGCTTGCAACAAAGGTTAGTTTTCTATTTTAACCTTTTTCATAGATGGACATATATAAATATAATTTGTGAATTAATTGTGAAATATATTTTTAAATTTTGAGATCACAGGAGAGAAGTTATATTTTCAAATTACCGTCTTATAAATTGAGAAAAAATAAATTGATTCACAAAATTGTGTTCTATTAATTCACACGATTATAATAACATTGGTATAAAAAAATAACTAATAATTTAATTCAATTTTAATTTGACTATTGATATGATTTAATTTTCAAGAAAATGATCTAAATTATTCACAAAATTATTATATCAATTCAAAATTACTCGCGAAACGACAATATTCAAAAAGTTATATTTGAGATCAATATCAAGGATAAAGAAGGAAAGCGGTTTTTGGTAATTTTAAAAATAATAATTTTATATAGGAATAGGTATTATTTATATAGATATATAAAATATTTTTAAAATTAAAATTTTAAATTGTTCATTAATTGAGAAATTATTTCAAATTAGAATCTTTTAATTTGAAAAAAATTATTTATTGGCATTCACTTGTCTTTTCCACTTTTTTTTGGGAAGTAAATAATTCTAAAGATAATGAAGATGTAATTAAAAATATTACCTAAAATTAAATTGTAAAACGCTTTTAATTTGCCAGATATTCTCTTCAGTCTAATGTCATATAAACGTGTCATACTTCACTATTGTTTTCTTTCTTCCTATGTTCAAGAATATCACATATTTTATATCCCAACACTGCAGGCCACTACTTTTTTATCTTTTACAAATAAAGTATCTTTTCATAAATTTTAAATTGATATTGTTATATATGTTTTTGAACAATCCCGTTTTTTTAGGCAATGCTCCTTTTGGAATTTTGGTTTTTGTAACAAATTTCACCTTAATTTTTCAATTAGATCATTGAATATTCACTCGACAATTTTATCTTTAAATAGTGAAAAAAGAAAAACAATGAGACTAAAATATTAATTTATCATTTGTTTTAATTTTAATGTTTGAATTTTTGAATTTAATTGCTGGGTATGACTAACTTTTCCATTTTAATCTTTCTTTACCTCAAAAAAATATCACATCATCTAAAATTGCGAGACAACAATAGGTTTCTATCTTAAAAGAAAAGAAAGCAAACAACGAGGACATTTATTGCTAGGAATGGCATAACAAGTGAGGCCTTTGGCTTAAAACTTCCTGTCAAATCCTTTTGTATTATATCCTTGCTCCGTCATATGCTTTCAACTAATTTATTTGAAATGTGAATATCTTGCACATTTGTATTTATACTTCTTCCTCTTCATCTTCTTTGATGTAAGATTCAGTGCAACCAATCAACAAGGAAAAACCTCCAACGAGCATTTGTAGCCACTCCCATAAAGTTCCCTTATACAATGTCACTAATGGTAGGTTTCTTATAATAAGATGTTATTTATAATTAACCTCGAAACTGTAGAAAATTCACATTGCATAACATTTCATGCTCCAATAATGTGAAAATTTGTAAAGAATTAAAATGTGCATTGTACTTTATTTGACTTTTGATGGTTCAACAATTGGGTTACATTGCCTTAGTTAAATATGATCGAGATGTTTTTTTGAATGAAATTTTAATGTTATATATCCATTCATCCCTACTAATGTATCTGGATGAATTACAGTGCTTCAACATACATGCTCTACATCCAACACCCACAGACAATTTGGAGTTGAACCCCCTGTTAGTTGTAAGTGTTTGAGTACAAGGTTTAATAATTGGTATTTGGTACGCATTAATTTTGTTAAATGTTTTCAATAATATACTATATATTTTGAAGGTTTATTCATGAGATGGGATTCTCATCAAGTTAATTTTTATGCAATGAACTAATATTAATAGATCATTGAGTACACAAACTTTGCAATTAAATTTTCTTTCATGTGACAATAGAAGTTAGTTGATTATTACGTGACAAATAATGTTAGAGCATGTTAATTGTCTAATTTTTTTTGACAGACAATCTATAAACATTTGATAACATCCATACAATCAAAGTTTAACATAAACATAATTTATTTTATTACTTTAATTTTTCAGCTCCCATTGATTTAGGCGACCAAGCATATCCATGTGTTCACTGTGGAGCTATTATGTGAATAAATGAATGACTTGAAAAAAATGTTCTAACCTTCATCCAAAGTTTGGATTATGTTGTCTTCAAGGGAAAGTTGACTTGCCTAACCCAAAGCATGCTCCTTGGCAACTACAGAGGCTATTTCACTCCATAGATGATGATAGTAAGAATTTTCTTGATAATATTAAAGCATACAACATGATGTTTGCATTCACGTCCATGGGCGGAAAAGTTGATAAACGAGTAAACAACGATCGTGGTCCTTATGTGTATTGTATTAATGGCTAAAACATGCATATTGTTTAAATGAATCGTTGAACATTCATTCATGTTAGATATATTGCAGATTATATTAGATGTATTTCATTGTGTATGTTATGATTTCATGCCTATGTCTTTTGTAGTACACTCATATCCATTATATTTAGGAAATGTTTTCTACATTTGTATTTAAATAAATGCGTGTGTATATGTGTTGATTGAGTACTGATGTAATTCCAGTTTTAAGTATGGTCGAAAACTAAATATAGTCACTTCTCTCAACAGGAATTTGAATCTTGATTCATCACATTCTGAATTCATTTATATTGCAATTTTTTTATTATTGTAATACCATCATATATTTTTAATTATTTTAAAATATATTTTTAATTATAACTTCATTTAAATAACCTCATGTAGTAATAAAAGTTGAATTAAAAATTATTATAATTCTTATAAGAGGACCCGTGCATTGCACGGGTGAAATACTAGTTTTCGAATAAAATTTTCAAAAACAAAAAAACAAACCGCCACTGTGAAATTGTGAGAGAGAGAGAGAGAGAGATCTGAGGGACATCTCCCACTTTCTTGATTTCTGTCAATCTCTCTTTGTTGCCCCCGGCTCCCCTCCATCTCTCTTGTCTTGCCCCATGCTCTGCCTGCGTCTCATTCGTCTCTATCTGCAGAACACCCCAAGCCTTGAAAGATCCATCTGTTTGACTCCTAATGACGGTGACCCACAACAAAGAAGATCAAGATCAAGATCTGAGTTTTTGTTGATTTGGGTGAAATCTTTTTTAAATATTAACCAAACTCTAGTATCTGACTTGACGATTTCTCTAAAAAATATCATCCACATCAACCCTTCTATTCATCTTATTTTTATGAGAAATAAAGAGAAGCCTACTAGCGTGCAAGATAGTTTTGTTTTGTTTTTGTTTTTGCTTTTTTTGTTTGTGTGATGATCTCCCTATTTTTGAAGCTTCATTGAAGTTACTCAAAAATGAAACAGTGGACATTATTATTTGGACTGCCAAAATTGACACAGATTATTGAGTTTTTGCACCTTCCATGTGAGAAAGGTTTTTGGAGACGTAGTGTTCTCTTATCGAAAATGACTTCAAATGTTGACCATTGTGCTATGTCTTCACGGTCTATCACTTATGCCTAGGTCATGATTGCAACAGGACCAAGTTATTGTGGATGCCTGCATCACTTTCCAATTGGGTAGAAGTGTTTCTCAATTCTCAGATTGGAAGAACTCTAAATGAACTTCTTTAGAGCCAACAGCTTAAATTGACTGCAGATGGTAATGTTACACTTGGAGTTGAGTTATTTTTTGATCTCAAAGGCTTCCTTTGAGAATAATGATTGGTGCGGGACAAGAAACAGAAGTGTTATTGTCTAAAAATTATTATTTGGTTCTATGAGTTTGTGACTAGGTAATTGGTGCAACCTAGGATTTAGTTGGGAGTTATCGATATAGGTGTTTGAGCCTAAGGAGCTGTTATCCCCATTCCCTTCAAAGTATTCTATGGCATTAGATTACTTTAGTTGGCGGACTTGTAGCTACTTTAGGCACACTCTTTTGTGGGGGTTATTAACTGTATTTCAACCAGTATTTAAGAGAAGTGTTATAGTTTAGGTACTTAGCTTGAATAAAATACGTACACCTTGATCTTTGATAATTCAATCTGATGTTTTTCCTTTTTATTTTTTAATTTTTTAATATCTTATGTCAATGGTGTTCCATCATGTCTAGTTTGAAATGGATATGGAGTAAAGGATGTTCCTGTGGCATGTAAGCTAGTCTTATTTTCTATTTCTTCCTGCCTCATAATTGATTGTGGCTGTTATGAATCAACCTAGGACTTTCCATTTGCCCTATCTTGCAACATGAAATGGTATGTGGTATGAAGTACTGATAACAGCCATCTGTGTTTAATAAATGTTGAGAACCAAGACCAAACTGTCTAGGTTTTGTTTGTCTCAGAAGGAATGGAAATAGAAGGAATATAATATGTCCATTGTATTGCCTATAAGTGACACATAATTTTTTAGTCCATGTTTGGTGGCAGAGTTATGCCAAAATGAAATTTGCACTGTCGGAACTCACAAGCAACTTTTGCCTAAATAAAGGCAACCTTGAAGTATCCATATCATTTCTCATTCACTATGCAGAAATTTTCTGCTATTGATACTACTGCTAAGTAGTTTCTAGGGGAAAATTTTGTCCAAATTTCAGCATCTTTTTGTGATAATACAGTTGTCATTGTGGAATACATGGAACCCCTAGTTTAACTGGAAGAACTTACAACTAATAGAAAACATTAGGAGGATTTACTTGTGTATCTTTGAAGAAGAGCTAAATTAACATAATGTAGTAAGCATGGTAGTGGATTCATGAGGAAGAGGTTCAGTACCCAGAGAACCTTTGATGTGGATCTCAAAAGATCTGACGCATCTCAATTTTGACATTTGGTTCTGATGTAAGAAGAATAACCTCAATTTTTGATTGCTAAGTAAATCTATTTTTGCACTCTTTTGTATCATGTGATTGTAGGTATATTTTGCTTTTGATTGTTACTTCACCCCCACCCAAAAAAAAAGAAAAAAAAACTGAATATGTATGGTTTCTTACAATGATACCCTTAAATTAGTTTTAAGTGAGTATTTCAGTATTGATAATATACTCGTTGTGTATTAAATTAATTGGTGGCTTAAAGATGTATGTCTTGTAGGAATCGAGTACTCAGTAATTTTATCATGTTTTTGCTAGGCATGTTATGAATGTAGAAGAGAACTATAGTTATTAGATTTGCTATGCTGGTTAATTAGGCAGAATCTTCTCTAACTAACCTATATAGCTTGTAATCTTACCTGAGAGGAGTTATGATTGATGATGAAACCTGTCATCCTGATTTTGTTATTCTCTTTTCTAATGAACTAATTTTCTAGATCATAACTAAACATGTTCATTGGTTTGATGAGGCGATTCCTTTTACCATCCTCCTAATCATATAACACCATGTTTCTCCACATCCATTCTGCTTGTTTCAGTTATCTATATTCCTTTAGTATACTGCCTTTCTTGAAAGACCTACTTGACTTGCTCCATACTTGTCCATGTCAAAGCATATAATGAAAAAGAGTTACACTCATTTCCATATATCAGTCAATTTTTAGTCCAATTAAAGCTACTGTCTTATAATTTCTGATGATTTAGTTGATCCATCTACAAATTCACTATTTGATTTAGGTCCTATATGATGGTCATAAAGTTTCACATCGATAAAATTTGCTTATAATCCATTGATAATAAAAATCAAAGATAGGATTTTAAAGACAATGTGAGTTGCAAACTATTTGATTCTCTAATTATTAATGTTTAATTTATCTCAGGTCTGGTAGATTGTTTTTAATATAATTTTACTTCACAAACTAGTTCAATAGTTGCTTGTTTGGAGTGTATCCCTTAAAATATACACTTTGAAGCTTGGGGATCATGTTTCCCCATGAAGGTTTGGAAATGCAAACAAAGGTCGTGCATGCAAAATCTTTTGAAGGAAAGGTTTGGATGAGGCTCTTTAGGGTTGTTAAACTGTAATATCCAAATTAAAAGGTATTGGATTAAGTTAGAGCCGGTGAGATTGGCGTCTCCCCAAATAGGAGAGCCCTGAATACTTCAATAAGATATGGTTCTTTTTTCTTTTTTATTTTGGTAATCCCATTTTGTTGGGTTTTTTTAACATTAGCACCTTGGTTTAAAAAAAATCGTGCTATTTTTTATGTAGTCCTCAAGAAGTAATTGAAGCAAGACTCTCCCATTATCGATTCAAAGGACCTATGTTGGGAATTAGAAAACTTTTTATGGAATTATTATGAGATCAGGTTAGCCTCAGACTTGTTGGTGAAGCCAACAGGTACGGAAGTGATTCATGAATGTGATGAACTGCCTTTTACATGTCAGGTCATGGACATGAGGGTCCCCAAATGTTGCTGTCTATGATAGAAGAAGGTTGTTCTTATTATATGGAATGCTAGAGCGTGGATTATGAGTGTGTTTAGCAAGTGTACTCTTCAGAATGGAATAAATTTGAATTTTTATTGATAAACATATCTGGAGACAAGTTCTTTATGTAGGGAAAACTTGGGTGACCCAAACATATATGCCAAAACATTACACTTGTGGAATTATAGTCTGATTAGTAGAAGGAAAAATTTAAGCTAGGAAAACTTGGGTTAACACACAACTTATGGATTCAACTAACTGAAATGATGGTAATACCATGTCAAGAAATTCAAATTGTCCCTTTGTGGATACCATGGATAGGGTTCCATCTTTGACTCGAATCTTAACTTCATCCAAACAAAGGGGGCGGCCTTCGAGTAAGCATTTGGGGGTATAGCTGATTTGGGCCTTCGAGTATGAAGCAAATCTTTTGTATTTTAATTCAATTAGAAAATGCAGTCCTAGCTAATCCCTTTACCTAGGAATCTTGGATTTCCTTAAAATATTTATAGAAAGAAAGTGTGCATTATGACTATCAATCAAAAACTTAAAGAAGGAAAACAAGGGTAAGAATCCAAACTCTAATTCTTCTGTAGGGCTAAGTAGTGGTAACCTGAAAAGGAGCAAGGATTTCCAACAGCAATGATATTTTGGTATGAAGAAATATGGTATTATAAAATTGAAATCTAGTCCATAGGCACTCTAATTACTCTACACCATTTATGGTCAGTATGTAAAAATATTTTATTTTTATAGCAAAGTTTTATTTACTAATTGTGCAATCTTCAGCTGATTATTCAGGGAAAAAGGCAAAAGAAATGGCATGAATGGGAGAAACTTAATCTTATTATGCACATATTGGGGAAAAAAGCTCATTCTCTTACTACAATAGGGTATGGTGTTATATTACATCTTAGTATAGAATTTGACTCCTCTGTAATAGTGCTAAACACAATAAAATAAAGTAATAACACAAAGAAATGAGAATGGGTATGAGGGTCCCTTCTGCTTGCTACATTCATTTGTTATCTTTTATCTCTTTCATACGGAACTATGCAATAATTACTTGGCTGCGAAGAATTTAGACTCCTTAATATAGTTACTGCAACACTATTAGGTAACCAATTATAATGTTTGAATATATTATATAGCTGTTACCTTTTCAGATTATGCCTTCTATGACTGCATTTTTTGTGCTGGCTGACTGGTCAACTTTTCCTAATCTTACCAAAATTATATTGTAACAGACACAGTATTTTAGTAACATTCTTGCTCAATTCCTTATGGAGAAGATGCAATACTACAGAGGTACAATTCATGTGTTCAAAGTCTATGCATTTTACCAACAATAATGACTCCTCACTGTAGATTACCAAAATAAAATTTTTTATTAAAAATAAATCATGGTTTCCACATGTATCTTTTCTGTGTATTGGGCATCCTTATCTTTCCTTTACTAGTATAAATGAGACTAAGGTATTGGCATTCTCATTCATTGGAGAAAATCCCTCCTGAGCTTTCATCAATCTGCATAGAGTCTTTATTTGTACTTGCATGATGAATTTTCTTTTTGACTTCTGATAGAGAAAAGGCTTAGCAAGACGAACGTTCTTGTAGCTACAGGTATTGCATGAAGGTGTTCGACAGCTACCAGGTGCTTGGAGGCCATTTAAGGTCACATCAAAAAATGATGTAGAAATATCCAGATTTTCAAAGCCACAACAACTCTCTTGTTGGTAGCATCACTTATTTCAATCCAGTACCAAAGGGCCTAGGTATAACTTCCTTGGGAGCTCTTATGAAGAATTATTTTTCATCCAAAGGTAAAGGACTTGCCAATCCAAAATATATGAAGTTTTGATTCCAAATTGATTTATAATCTTGTTAAATGCAGAAAATCATTGTGGGAATGAGACTAAACTGATCCTGTCTTCAAATCTCTCACGTGCCCCCAACTCTTATGCATCATTGAGACAAAGTATTTTTGAATAAATTTTTAAATTCTGTGAAATTCCTCTAATCTCAGTTTGTTTTCAACTTATTCCAAATTGATTTATTACACAAAGTTTGATGTGACTTTTTTTTTTTCCTTTTATTGCTTTTCTACTGCTTGAAAAATTTGTAACTTACTTTTTGAAGATGCTTATCCCTTAACCTTCCCCCTCTTCCTATGCCATGTATATTTAATGATAGATTTTACTATCTCAAGTTAAAATAATAAAGTAGTGAATAAACTCTTAAATTCCGTCAAGTTCCTCTAATCTCAATTTGTTTTCAACTACAGGCACAAACTCTATCTTTTTGCATGGAATTTATGAAAGATGTTATATGACATTTGGAACTTTGCATGGAATTTATGAAAGAAATCATGAAGGATTGCATGTTGGTTGTTTGAGATCACACTTTCAATTTCAAGTGCTTGAAGTGCTTTAAATTAGGTTGTATCCTCTCTTTCCTATGGTATCTGGTTGATTCAGTGATTGGGAACTGTCTAATTAAGTGTGGGGGAGGTATCCAGTGGGACAAAAATTATCCATTGCATTTAGTTTGCGTTGTTAGGTTTTGTCATTTTGAAGCTTTCTTTCCTTTAGGTGTTGCATTCATGTAGGTTGATAAGTCTGTTTGTGTTAAGGCAACGTAACTTTTAAGTGCAGGGGCAAGTGTGTTTTAGGTCATTTTTCATGGTTTTATGAGTTGCCAAAATTTTTGAAAAATTTAAAATTTTTCTTATTATGTTTTTGAAAAAGCTTTAGAAAATTAAATAAAAAGTTCTGTTTTGATTCTAAAATGATTAGTTTGATGAGATTGCTAATGAGATTTGAAGTGTTAGACTTGGATGTTTCAAGTGTAGCTAGGATAGGATAGAATGTTCTACTTGGTTTGTTTGAGCTAGGGGAAAATATAGCCCTGATGGAACGTTATTTTGAGCCTATATTGATTCCTTTCTAGTGTGCGTTATCCACTTATTCCATTTCCTTCTTCAGAACTTGTTCTAATTCTTTATTAGAACTACTTTGCATATGCATTGTGAAGATGATTAAGGCATTTGTATAAAATAGCCAGTCTAGCCAAATGGCCAACCTAACATGATTGTATCCTTTGCTAGCCACTTTGGGCCTGTCAGTTATGTTCTTTCATTCTATTCATCATTTACACCCTCATGCTTTCTAAGAATGCATGTTATGTTATATTATTGTTGGGATTCATTTGCATATCTAGTATTCAAGTTATGGATATTTTGAGCTGTATTGAATAATTGATATGTATTGTGAATGAATTGAAGGTGAAGGCGGAAATGATTGTTTTGCAATAACAAGAAAAAAAAAAGAAAAGAAAACAAGGAGAAAAAGATGAGAAAAGATTGTTAAAAAGAAAAGAAAAAGGAAATAGGCAATGTGAAAAAATTGTTAAAAAAAAAAGTAAAAACAATGAAACCAAAAAAAAAAAAAAAAGAAAAAGAAATTAGAGTTGTTGCTTGCTTAGTTATGAATCACCTTGCTTTTAATTGATAGTATTGTTTTATAATTTCCATGTCTTGGACCTAGTTTGTGCTTATGAATCCCATGTCATTGGTTTGTTGGATAAATGTGATACATGTGTCATACTTTTTCTTTCCACATGCATTCTTACATGCACTTTCCACCCTTTACATTACAACCAAATGAAAGACCTTTTGATTCATGTATGCATTGTGCTAGTAAGTGGTGGAGATTTAGAATTTTTACAAGCCTATGGTAGAATGATTGGATAAGTGGACTTGAGTGAGAATTTACCCTTAAACACTATTGAGTTGAGAGTGGACACTTTTCCTGTGTGGTTGTGTAGTTATATGCCTATCCAAGCTTACTAGGTTTGCATTTTGAATATTCTAGTTGTGCAAGAGTCATTTCAGGTTGAGCATGGAGAATTGAATTGGCATAATTATCATTTTGAGCATGAACTCATTTATGTTTTCTTGATTTTTTTTTACTTTATTTCTAAAATTGTGTTTTTGATTTGATTTTGCCCAGGAGTGCACAAGCTAAGTGTGGGGAATTTTGATGAGTGATATATTTCATACCCTACTTTTCACCTTCATTTTCCTTGGTTTTTGTCACTTAATCTTTACAAATTTAAGTGTGTACTAGGTTGTGGAATAATTTAAATTTGCTATGTTATGAAATTTTATTATTTGAATTAACTAATATTTATAACAATTAATTTTTCTTGCCATTTCACTTCTTCCATTCCATGTGTCGCTTCTCCTCCCATGATGGATTTTAACTTTCCAAATGTAAAATGTTGTTTGGCTCCCTTTTTTAAGATAAAATGTACTTTCCAAACTGACTTTCAGATACGTTTGAGATGGAGAAATTTGCAAAGCTACTTTGGGTTGCTTTCAAAACGTGATCAGTTGGAATAGACATTTATGGCTGATACCTAATTTATTTATTGACCATGATGCCTTCACTTTTGCAGCTAATACATATCAAGCACACTCTTCTCTTGTCGTTTCTCGTTTGTGCAGCTGATACATATCAGAGTCTTGTTCGTCCTTTATTGCTGCTCTGTGTCTGTCGCTAGTCCACCACTCGTCCATCTCTTTTCCTTCTCTCCTTCACCTCTCCTCCGCCATCTCATAGATTCGGATCTCTTCCTTCCCTAAGCTTCTCCTTCCTTCATTAACGGTGGTTGCATTTCACCGTTGATTTCTCCCCATCTCTTTCATGGATCAAGCTCATTTTGGAACTTGGACGGCATTTCGAAGCTGAGAGAACTCCGACCAGCTGCTTTTGCAACCTATGGAGTGCAAAAGTGAACATTTCGACTAGCTTGTGGAACTCCAATCCTCTTCTCCGATCTGCTCTTCGATCTGCAAGGTATGATAGCCTCCAAGCTTTTTTTGTCAGATCTAGAAATGGTGCTCCTTTATTCTGCTCTTCGATGTGATCTGTTGCTTTTCTTGTTCGGACCATCGTGAAGCTCTGTTCTGATCTATTTCTTTTCTTTTTCGGACCACCGTGAAGCCCCTGTTTCAGTCTGTTTCTTTCCTTTTTCGGACCACCGTGAAGCGTTCCGGTCTGTTTCTTTTCTTTTTCAGACTGGTGTGAGGTTTTTTTTTTTAATTGCCTTCTTTTGATTGCTGCACATAACAAGAATATGCATTAGCCAGTTAGTCCCAGTATCTTCTATACGAGAGAGGAACAACTTAGATGACAAAAAGTAAGGTAGGTGGATAGTAGAAATTAAATATGTATATAAACTCTTTTGATGTAATTAAGAAAAAAATAACATTCATAAGTAAGCAAGAACACTATTTATGACTGCATTTTGTGATTGTTCTGTTGATCTGTTGATGTTCCGGGAATATGACACGGTGTTTTGGGAATATATTCTGGTGACTGATCTGTTGATTATTCTATGTTGCTTTGTTTTTTTTTTTTTCAATTTCGTTTTGATAAGAATTTGAGCTAATTTATTTTTGAAAAACTAATGAAGGGATGAGAAAGGTTACAAATTTTTGATCAAACTTGCTTATTTTAATACATACTATTGAATTATATGATTTGAATTTGAGTAAGTGTAGAAATTATCTTATGGCTGCTTTTGAATAACAGCCTCTTTCAACAAATATATGTGGCTAAGATAACAAGTGGTTAATTAACCATGATCAAATAATCTTTTTCTCTTTTTGTTTCAAAAAAAAAAGGATAGTAAAAAGGATAAAAAAGGATAGTTTTTTACTCCTCAAATTTCATTTGTATTAAGAATGTGATATTTTGATAGTAAAAATGAGTAAAGAGAAGGTATTATGGACTACTGAAGAGACCGAATTGTTTATTAAATTAGCTCTCTAGCAAGTTAGGAAAAATGAGTGTAAAGGCTCTACCTTATCAAAGGAAGGTTGGGAGGCGTTAATGCAACAGTTCAATGTTTTGAGCTTTAGAAGCTATGATAAGAAGCAGTTGAAGAATAAATGGGACAATTTGAGGAAAGAATGGAATATAAGGGACAAGCTGTTGAACAAAGAGACTGGTTTGGGATGGGATAGTGAAAAGATACTGTTGGTGGAGTCAAAAAGATTAAGGTATACAATTATATATGGCATGCTATACATTTGATATTTTATTTTGTAAACATACTAGACTCAGTTCTTGTAAATGTGTAGGAGAATCTTGAGTATAGGAAATTCAGACATAGAGCACTTCCATATGCACAAGAATTGACACAGTTGTTCCAGCCAGTTGTACATCTGCGGCCGATGATCTGCAAGATGTGTATAGGCCTCAATTGGATTTGATTGAAGAATCAGGAGATAGTGATGATGTAAGAAACATTAGTGGAGGAGCTTTTTTAGAAATTGGGCAGGTTAACTTGAATAATGCATACAGTGGTGGTACTAATTCAGGGAGCAAGCGAAAGCGGTGAAAGTGGTCAAAATAGTGAGTCAATTGGTGTCCACACAAGAGGATAGGGTTTCAACATTGATGTCGATTCTTAATTCCATAGAGGGTGGAACGTTGACCAAAATGTGTTAGATGTTGCAAAGGAACTTTATGGAATCGAATGGATTGCTTATGATGTGGTGCCTCTTGGACAATGTGTTGTGGCCTTGTTAGATAAGACCGTAAGGGACATGTATATTGGGCTTAGGGACAACAGAAGAGCATTAGTGGCCTATTTGAGGTGCTTGGGCAAAAAATCAAAGCTTGCCTTCTAATGTTTTAGGAGTCTCGCTTATTACAATCATTTGTTCACACGGAAGACGATGAGGTTGAGGCTATTACTGCAATAGTATCTAATTACTCAACAACTTTATTGAAAGAGCCTTGTAGAACCAGTTCGTAATCAGGTCATGCATGGGTGCAATAAATTTTGCAAGGGCATCCTCAATGTTGTTTATGACATGTTTCGTATAGAAAAATATCTTTATAATTTTTGTTTTTTTGTTGGTAGGTAAATATTATTTGTTAGATGTTGGCTATCCAACGCCACGTGGATATTTAGGTCCTTATAAATCTCATAGATATCATCTTCTAGATTTCAGGCATTCATTCGGATTTGCAAACAATAATAAGATTTTTAATTATTATCATTCAAGCTTAAGGACCACGATTGAATTTTTGAGGTTTGGAAAAATAGATTCACAATCTTATGACACATGCCTAGCTATTCATTTGTGCAGCAAGTTCGTATTGTTGCTGCCACAATGGCTATATATAATTTTATTAGAAAAAAATATTATAGATCGAATTGTTAATCATATAACTATTCAATGTTTATGAATGTTTAACTATTTATTACATAATTTTTTTCCTAAATTTTATTCTTATTATTTAACATTTTAAATAATATATTACATTTGTATAATAAAAATTATAAATTATCATAAATTAATGTCCTTTTTGATCATTACATATTAAGAAGTATATTTGAAAAGAATAAATGAACTACTTGAATGTCCCAATCCCTCTCCCATCATCTCTAAATATTATCTAATAGCTTGTGACAATGCCTTATATCAGCTCTTCCCTTTTGCAGTGTCTGGATGATGGCAAAAGAATCCAACTCTAGCGTAATTCTGTTTGTACCCAGCAGTCCAACAAGTAATCATCAAGACAGTCCAAAGTACATTTAAGCTGATCGATAGACTTCACCTAAAATTAAAACATCATCTCCAAACATTAAATGAGAAATCTTAGGTCCATTCTTACAAAAAAATTAAGCTCTAAATCAAGCTTCATAACAAAGAAACCTCTTCCTATTCTCATTCTCTTCATAACATGTAAGATTATTGAGCAAACTACATTCTCTTGGTGCCTATTTGGAAACACCCATTTAATCAATTATTAAGGGATACACTCCAAACAAGCAACTATTGAACTAGTTTGTGAAGTAAAATAATATTAAAAACAATCTACCAGACCTGAGATAAATTAAACATTAATTAATAATTAGACAATCCAAGTAGTTTGCAACTCATACTGTCTTTAAAATCCTATCTTTGATTTTTATTATCAGTGGATCATAAGCATATTTTTATCGATGTGAAACTTTATGACCATCATATAGGACCTAAATCAAATTGTTTTAGACGGTGATTCTCGGTTTACATCAAATTTATGGTAGGCTATGCAAAGGGCTATGGGCACGGATATGAAGTTTAGTATGTCTTATCATCCACAGACAAATGGATAGACTGAGTGGACGATCCAGACATTAGAGGACATGTTGAGATTGTGTGCCCTAGAGCTTCAGGGAAGCTGGGATAAGCATTTGCCTCTGGTAGAATTTGCTTACAATAATAGTTATTATGCCAGTATTCAAATGACTCCTTATAAAGCATTGTATGGAAGTAAGTGCAAATCACCTCTCTGTTGGTATAAGTTGAGTGAGAGAGGACATTGATGGGACTGGATGTGGTAGATGAGACCACAGAGAAAATCAAATTGATCCAATAAAAACTTCTTACGGCATAAAGTAGATAAAAAAGTTTGCAGATAATTGTCGTAAGGACTTGTCTTTTGAGGTTGGGGATCATGTATTTCTCAAGGTTTTTTTATTGACGGAAGTTGGACGCTCAATTTAAGCTAAAAAAATTATCTTTTCGATATATGGGTTCTTTTAAGGTTTTGAAGAAAATTGGGCCAGTGGCTTATCAGTTGGCATTATCGCCTTAGTTTGCGGTCTAGATGTTTTATGTGTCACAGTTGAAGAAGTACCAGCCAGACCTGTTGTATGTGATAGAACTTGAGGAGGTTGAAATTTAGGAGAATTTAACCTACCAGACTGAACCAGATCGTATTGTGGATGCTAAAGATAAATATCTCAGAAATAAGAGAGTTTGGTTGCTAAAAGTGATCTAGAAAGGGACGGCTCTGGGAGATACAACCTAGGAGATTGAGGATCAAATGAGGAAGGAGTATCCATAGTTGTTTCCTTAAGTATGTTTTTCTCTTTGACTTATGAATTAGCTTAGATTTTGGGGATAAAAATTCTTTTTAAAGGAGGGGAGAATGTAACATTCTGAAATTTTAAGACTTGAATCTATTTTAAAATAAATGCATGACATAGGCTGGTATGACATTTCCTAATCGGCAGAATGCCCCTTGGCACTAGTTAGCTCGCAGGTAAACTTTATACCCACTTGTACCTCCACAGGCACAAAATATAATCTAAGGCATAATCGAATCCACCTAATCGCTTATGCTTCTTCAACGTGCATCCTAAGCAGTCGAAGCTAACTCCCTCCCAGAGCTAGCCCGACTTACTTTTCATGTGAGGGCTACTTTAGCCTAGGCACTTAACCTCACACTTTCTATATCGAATTTCCTCCTTACTGAGAGGTGTTGAACATTCAATCCACTAACCACTTTAGTATACTATTGGCAATGTGCCATAGAATATTACAAGTTCACACCTCCCTATTGGTGAACTCCTACTGACATCATGCCGTTCACTCTTGTCTACTTCTCCCGAGTATTAACCACTTCAATACTATAAGGTGGTATAACAAATATCACTCCTCCCTTAAGTGGTTCCTTAGCCTATCTAAGGTACCTAACCCAATTACACTTCCTTAAGTGCAACTTCCATTCTCTATAATTATAATGCATGCAAACAATCTCATTTTTATAAAAACATTATTGTTAAACAAATAGAAAACATATATGTACTATTATCTAAGTAGTACCTCATAAGTCCTTATAAAACACAATTAATTGCATTTAATCATTTAAAATATGTAATACATGATAGCTAGTAATATTTATTCAAAAATAGCTAAACAAAGTAATAAGAAATATAGATTCCCTTGTTACTTCAACCTTTTTATACTAAAAGAATTTTTCCTTGTATAAAATGAAGCTTCGCTTGTTCCTTATTCTCCAATTAAGTTCCACCAATAATTCCCTATAACATATAAATGATCTATATCACTTTTCATGGCAAATAACATTAATAAAGACTATAAATCATACCACACAACTTGGGTCAATGAGCTATAATCCATTCTAATGGTTCATATATCAAAACAACCATTCATATAGTATCACTTAAGCACTAAAACCATTTATTAGCCACCAATAGGCCTATTTCCAATTCATATAATTTTTAATTAATTAAAAACCTTCATTTAATGTCATCAACTTTCATAATTAGCCCTTATAATTAAAACTAAAGCTTAATTTAAATCTTATTGGATTTAAATAGCACAATTATAACTAAATCAATAGGCTTAAACTATTGAAGAGTGAAATTCAATCTCTTAGGGTTTAACTTTTTCCCTAAAACTCCCTTTTTCATCTAATTGCCCATTTAAAATATTAAAACACCATATAGAAACTCAAAACAACCTCTATGGGACTAAAGGAATCAAGAATTTTTCTCTTTCAAAAACTCAAGAAAACCAAGAAGGAAGGAAGATGATTGAAAATCTTCTACTTGAGAGTGGAACTACTCCTATGTACTCTCAATTTTATGTGGTTGACACAGAGAATGAGATTAATAATCTCATATATGTGGTAAGGTACAAGTATATTTTAAGTGGATACATTTACAATCATTTAAGTGGTTATATTGTTTTTTTTCGTAATTTTGTTCTTTATTTTAATTTACAAGGGATGGAATAAAAAGGATCACATAGATCTGATTATTGTGGAGAAACTAACATCTTTGCTTGACAATATTAATATATTAGTAAAGCTTTATAGATTTTCTTCTAAAATTGTTACGACCAGTTGCAAATATGATATTAAAATGTGATTATTGAGTGAAAGATTAGCTAGTCAGAGGAATTATGATTTACTTGTGTCTTCTGATATTGCTGCCCTAATAATTGGAGAATTTGACCACTCTTATCATTCGAGGGATATTATTGTGAGGAAACAATCTAGTGAATGTAATATTGAGCTTTGTATGCTGTACTACCTCTTTAGTACCTAATTTTCTTTCCATGTGGTACTGGAGGGTATGAATCTAATATTGAGCATGCATATCAATTTGAGCATAGAATTATGAAGAAAAAATGGTTTATGTAAGGGAGTTCTTAGCTTATTGCTGATGAGTAGTGACAATGAATGTCCTATGTTACTCCATTTTGAAAAAATTATTGCAATAGTATATTGTTGATGGTTATATTATGATTGAAGCTGATCGACTTCATTTCATTCGATGAAATCAAACAAAATTATGTGTTGGTAAGTACAAACATTTGTCAGATGTTATCTTGAGGGGAGAAGATCATGCTATGTCTACTGGTAAGTGCATAATTTTGCAGTCTTCCTTTGTTGGCAGTCCTAGGTGTCTTCTTGAAAATTATCATGATGCAATGGCTATTGCTTGAATTAAAGGTCATCTTGATTTATTTTTGACATTCAAGTGTAACCTTGCTTGGCTTGAATTGAAATGAGTTTGTGAAATATATTGTTCTACGATGTAACATCCTAAAAATTAAGCCCCTGGTAATTAACGTAATTAAAGGTAATTAAGTTGAATTTATATGATATATGGTCAGAGGGGACTAATGAGTGTTTTTGATTGTGATTTCAGCCATAGATTTAGATCCAAAGTGAAATTGGGTCACTTTAGCATCAAAAGTGGAGGAAAACAAAAGAAGATGACCTCTGTGCCACATGCCGCAATATGTATGTGGTGTGCTGCAACCCATGGAGCAAGAAAGATGAGGAGGAGCCTTTCTGTATCACATGTCGTAGCATGTGTGATGTGCATTATAGTGCAGGACCTATTTTCTACAAAAATAAGTCGCACATCAGATCAAAATAGGAAAGAAAAGAGAAAATAATGAGAGGGAGAAGAGGAGAGCTTGAGCTCAACTAGGACAAGACATTGTAAAGGATTTTTAGAGGGTTTAAAGCTCCCAATCACTAAGATAAATCTTTCCTATCCTTCCTCTTCCTCTCTATACTAATTTAAAGTTAGGATTTGTAGTACAAAGTTGATTTTTGGTTTAATGAGGATATGGGTCCAAATCCATTGATTCAAATGAAATTAATGAGAGTTATTTGAGGTATTTAAACAAATGATCAAGGGTTTTACATGTTTTTGGTGGGTAAGCTTCATTAATGTTTGAAAATAGGGCATTAAAATTGAGTTATAAGGTTGTTGGGAGACAATAATGACCCTACAAACATTTAATGAAGCTAATGAGGGCTAAAGAGTCATTACTACAAAATTATACATATCTGATGGTTATTTTTCCATATATTAACCGTCAAATAAGCCCTCATCATTTATGTAGATCTACTTGATAATTATTTTAACTGTCAAATATATGTCAATATACTTGATGGTTCTTAATAACAATCAAGTATAAGGTACCAGAACTAATACTCCTACTAAAAACCAAGATCATATTTGATGGTTATCTATGAGAACCTTTAAATATTTCCTATTATATTTGACGGTTATTAGAATAATTGTCAAATATGTTGCATAATTTTTTTTATATGTGGAACTTATGTTTTAAGTAGCCCTCTTACAATAGAATTGATATTTCACAATCCAGATAATCTAGCAAATATTATCATTAACAATATTCTTTTAAAATTAAAAGAACACATTGTAACCCTTCCCTATATTCTCAAATATAGGAAATAAGTAACTAAATCACCACATCACAAATACCATTTAGTAATTAAATCTATTTGAACAGCTTGGGCTCGAGTCTTATTTTGCAAAATTATCAAAATCATAGAATGACACATAGTGGAAAGCAAACAGTTGCATTCATATGAACTATTGCATGCTTATAATATAAAGAATTGAGGTCAAGTTAAGGGATATGCGCCATGGCAGGCAGCACATGCATTGGGGCATGTGGCACAGAGCCACATGCTAACTTTCTGTACAATGCACCATAATGTGCAAGTCCATTTTGTTGCTGTAATTTGACAACATTAATGACAAACTTGCGGCGTATGCCATTTCCATATAAGACGTTTGATCGGAGTGATTCAAGCACCTACACATAGCTTATCTCATAAGCTAACTAATGAAATATGTGTGGATATGATCTAACAGTCCAATCAAAATTTGGATACTCGAGTGCAAACATGTATCTAAGTTTTCAAATTAATCCCTTAATCTCATTAGACCATACTAGGTCTTGAACCAAGTCCAAAAAGGACTTAATGTACCTTACTGATCACATTATAACACACATATATCCACATATCATAAATTGGCCACTTAATGGCCTATTTTCACATTTCATGGGTTTTTCACAATTTGGCACAATTTGACCCACTTGGCCTTTTCGCACTACATATCAACACAAATTCACTACTTTTCACATTTATAACATATTCACTATTCAATTTTAGCCCCAAATTCTCATGTCATCATATATTCACTCATAAGGGTTAAGATTCATAAAAATCACTACAATTCTCCACATTTCACAACTAAAATATGCATGCTAATCCTTATGGCAATTTATATATATAATTTCCACTAAAGATTCAGTTCATTATACAAACTCAAAGCTTTCCACGACAACGACACCACCACTATACCAAAATGTAACCATGAGGGTGAGATAATACTCTCAATAATAGACTAACTTGCTACTGTCAACTATTACATGCAACTATAAACAAGTATAGTATAATATACTTTTAAACATAAAATATATCACATGTCTCAATTAAAACCATTTAAATATAACATTTTACCACCTTAAAAACCATAATCACTACATTTCATCACTTTTCACCACTTTTCAATCATATAGCATGATTACTATCGATGAAACCTCTAAATCACCTCGACTTGAAACCATAGGCTCGCCTTAGACTATTGTACACTCTCATTGGCCCTGAACTCACCTTTAATGGTAGAATCACTGGCTAAAGGTGTTCTATCTTGTTTTAGACTATGGTTTCCCCTAATACGTACAATGGGGTGTTGTTGACTCCAACTCCGCATCACATCGATACTAATGAGTCTAAATCTCCAACATCGCACCTTAATAGGTACTAAAGGGATAATCTCTACCACTGTACCTCGAAAGGTGTAATGCTCTCGTCGACATTACCATGCGCTCTATTATAATTGATTTATTTACTTTGAAATCATTTAAGTTGTAAATATTGAAAGCATTGAAAGCCTTGGGATCCTAATAAAAATTTTCAAAAATCATTTTATAATTCACTCAAGTATAAATCTTTTATACACACAGCAGAAGCAATAAACCTATATGCATCAAGGATCTGGAAAACATGTGCATTACTAAAAAGCAAAGCTCGCTTTGTGCGTTGCAGCATATGGCATAGAGGCTATAGTTGCTCACTTTGTGCCGTGCACTATGGCATGCGAGTGTGTGTGCCATAGCGCACACACTTAAACTTTCTGTCAAATGGCAGTTTTTGATAAAAAATTCAAATGTGAGCCATTTCCACATATGATGTCCGATTGGGATGGTTTAAGTGCCCACACAAAGCTTGTTTCGAAATCTAACTAATGACACTAATTTCTTCTCAATTCGATCTCTATCAAAATTTGAACATTCAAGTGGATTTCGACAAGTTGCTGCCAAAATTTTGCCACTCAAGTGTCTCAATTCGAAACCAAATGTCATTAGCCACTTTTTGGGCCTTGCCCAAGTCCAAATGGACAATTACACACCTAATTGACCATACACATACACAATATAACACATACACAAATTTGACCTATAAATCGCCCATTTCACCATTTGGGCCAAATTTATATTTTTATTTCTTTAATCTCATATATGGCTAAATCACTACATATAATCTCCATTCATCTCATATCCACACATAATTATATTCATTCACTAGCCTATCCAGTCATTTCATCATTCATACATATACAAGGGTTAGAGCTTAAAATCACAAAACATACCACAATCATATCTTTATGTACATGTACAAATCCTATGACAACTTATACATAAAACAAGACTAATAACAACTAAATTCATTACACCAAAACCTTACAAAGGCTTTAGTGAGAGATCTCAACTTAGCTAATGTCTTTCCCCTTCTAACCACTAGCACCAGAGTCTGAAAAATGTAAATAACTGCGGGTGAGATAAAAATCTCAATAATCAATATAGTTCATTAAATGCTTATTTTCACATATAACCATGCCAAAGTAATAAAATAAAGTAATATCATATACATATACATACATACATACATATATATATATATATATATATCAAAATATGAAATGATTCCTCTTTTCAAAACAATTCTACACAAATACAAACTAGCATGATCATCTAGCTACCGAGCCTTCAATGCTCTCTAACATGAAACCATAGGCTCTCTTAGATCAAAGGTAATCTAACTCACCTACAAACTATGGTTTTTCCTCTTCACAGTGATAGAGGCGTCGTTGACTCCTAACCACATCCAACTGGGCACTAGAGAGTTGCTAGACTGCCCAGATGCCCCATGGTAACAGTCCCATAATGTGTTGTACTAGATTACCCATGGTACCAACCCATAAAATGCTACCGGATGTCCTATGGTGCCAGCCCGACCATATGGATTTTTCACTCACATATCTCCACACACACATCCCCACATATTCTGGGTGAACTCCCACCTCCTATGATCATGCTCTTTCACAATTTTCACTACTTTTTCTTCACATTTTCACATCACAAACTTTTATACATAGTATATATATATATCAATCAAAATCAATAGCATTTTACAAATCAATTTTCATGCTAAAATTATTTACAATATCAAATTATGCACAAAACTCTTCAAAATCACAATTTTATCATTTGTATTTACTTCTACATAGTTATAGTGGTTAATAAACACAATAAACTATATAGTTACCTCAATCCTTCTGTTTGATAGAAAGGGTTACCCATGTAACTTCAATCTTATTTAAGCTCCTTTCTTGCAATTTATGCATAAATACTAGAATTTATATAGAATTGGCATTCCAAGTAAATTCCTCTATTAACCAAAAGTGCCAACTATCACATTTGAATACTTAATCATTTATCAATTCCATGTTTCACACTCGATTACACATATTACCACTGATTACCCGTCATTTCAAGCTTTAATCTTTTCTAGCAATTTTCTCTCACTATTCTCTCTTTAGATTAAGGCAATTCTTGCCTATAGCTCTAAAGTTTTATCGTTTTGACTCCAACCAGTCACAAAGCACTAGTTTAGTTCTAAAGAACCTTTCTATTATTATAGGGTAAGAAATCAACTCCTTAAAACTCTTGAATTCACTTTCTCATTGGTTGAAACTAAGAGAAAACAAGGTAGATTCGGAGGTCAAGGTAGTATGTGACTTACCTAATAAGTAACAAGTCAGAAACACTCCTAATTTTGCTTGCCCTAGCAGATCCCTTGCACTTTTCCACGTCTGATCTCTCCTCCCATATTTCTCCCTTTTGTTTCACGAGCTGGACACATCCCTATTAATTTGATTTTTGCTCCATGCGCTGTGTTGCATCTATCCCCCACTGCAACGTGTGGCACAGTGAGGGAAATCCTTATTATGCTCACACACTCTGCTTCGAGACTCTGCTATTCTACTTATATATGTTCATATAACATCCCAATGAGTCAAAATAATACTTCACTACTCAAAATCCTATTCGCACATTAAATCACTAATCTATTTTTAATCAATCATTAATACATGATTAAAAATTCAGGATGTTATAAAAGGCATTAAGGAGATACAATTCTCCAACACTTACCTCGTTGGGCACTAAAGAGAATAATGTCATATAGTCTTATTACTACACTCCACATGAGTGAACCCTCACCTTTTGATCATGCATTCCGAACCAATTATTGGTTCTCAATCACTATTATCCATATATAAACACATACATTTCTATATCAAATTACATAATTTCATTTACTTGTTTA